TGAGCATCCCCTCAGTAATGACTGTCTCAGTTCAGCCTTACACCAGTGTTACACAGCATCTGCTGTGACTGAAGAATTGTAATATTATGTATTGCAGTTAGGCCTTCCATTTGGGGACTCTCAGGGCAAAGAGTACGTTTGCCCCAATATTCACAGATTATATCCTGTAGACAGAGACTTTAATTCATGTTATTTTTAACCATTGATATTACAGCATTTCCAAATCTCTAAACTTAAAATTACATCCATATAAGGCTTTTGGTTCCATGGATGGTAGTTAAATAGTGAAATTGTCTTTAGGAGTTAAAGACCCTCATCAGATACCCCAAAATCCTGCAGCTGTAGAGCTAAGCACAATTTATGTGGAGCAGCCATGCAGAAAATCTTCTTCCAGAGCCAAATTCTCTTATTGATGTAAACTGCTCTTTGTCTCTTACCTCTTTTACATTCCCTCTCCTGCATCTCCAGGGGATCGTCCTCTGCTAGCTGAAACTAGCCATCTATGCGTTGTGCTCTGCCCTTTGATGTCTCTCTTCCTGACCAGCAATGGTCAGTCACATCCTTTCTGGAGACAAATAAGCTTCAGCAGCACAGCAGGGGACTCTGGGCTGAGCTCTACTGAGTTGCTCTGTTTGTGCTTTCTTTTCATGCTTGTCTCCTGATTCCTGGCTATGCTACTGTCCAGACTGTGGTCCTCATGCTGAGTTTGCTAAGCTGCAAAAAAGCTGCTCTCAGGTGACTAAATTTCTGTCCAAGTGATGGAGCAATGACTCGGACCAACAAGACACCTCCTACTAAACCATGTCACCCAAGGCTCTGTCCAACCTGGACTTGAACACTGCCAGGGATGGAGCATTCACAACTTCCTTGGGCAACCCATTCCAGTGCCTCACCACCCTAACAGGAAAGAATTTCCTCATTATATCCAATCTAAACTTCCCCTGTTTAAGTTTTAACCCATTACCCCTTGTCCTATCACTACAGTCCCTAATGAAGAGTCCCTCCCCAGCATCCTTATATCCCCCCTTCAGATACATTGAATAAAACAAATTTTTTAAAATTATTTTAAACAAAATAAAAGGAAATCCAAAATATGTGTTTCCCAGTCTAACACCAATAAACCACTGGAGGTACCTACCAGCAAGTTGCTGCTGGCCCTTTTCTTGTGTGATAGAAAGCAGATTCTACCACAGCCTCACAAATACCATCAACTCAATATCATTTTTAACTCTATCTGTTGCTTCTGAATATCCATACCTGTAATGGATCTGCTCAGAATTTTCTATCATCTTAACAGTCACTCCTTTGATATCACAGCATGCTTCACTTCCACGTGTAATAAAGAACAAGGTAGGTGACTCACTATTCTGAGGAACTATTGCAAGCAAAGCAGTGCCTTTGTGCTGGCGTAAATGCAAATTACCCCTAGGAAAGAAAAATCCAATCACCTCTTAGCATTTGCATCAGCTGGAGGGAGAGCTGATGGCAATATTGCACAGCTTTGTATTATCCAAGAAAAACCAGAAAGACATTCCCTCAGCCTGCTGACAATGTGCTTCTCATCCCAGGCATTCTTTAAGACTGTGTCTCTTCTGATAAAGAGACGCTGCCACAAGAAGTAGTATTATTCATTGCCAGCTAAACTAAGAATTTCAGCTGGCCCTAGCTCCACTCTCAGGTGTGCTAATAATGTGGGGGCAAGGCTGAGATCAGGAAAATTCCACTCCAGCTGTTTGCCCCGCTGGGCTGTGTGATTTGAGACAAATGATTAAGTTTCTGCCTCCCACAGTTCTGCAGCATCTGTGAAATAAGTTATCCCGCAACAACAACATGGGCTTGCTCGTGGGCATACACAAAAGTTTATGGTTGGTTCAGCAGGGACCACTGACAATATAATGTTGCTGGGAGAACTACCAGCAAAGCTGGTTGATGTTACAGATCTGACACGGATGTCTAGGTATCTCTGAAAAAAACAAGAGCAAAGGAAGCAATGTGATCTTCAATTTAATGGCAGTTTCCCTGCTGGGGGACTGTGTGGTAAGTTTGAAGGTGTAAGACCCGTTTTAGATCCAAAGACAATACCAGATGAGGTGCCAGAGTGTGTAACCACTGCCTCTGGGAGCTCATTTTGGATCACACCACATGGATCTGCCACTTGTCATCTTCCAAACTCTTTTCTAGCATCTGAACCCTCTACAATCAAATAATGAAAATTATGCACCTTAAAGGGTCAATATGTACAACAGAACAGCAGATCAAAGTAGAATCCAGGACAATAAATAATGTTTTCCCTCTTTAAAAAAATATTCCGGGAAACTTTACGGCTCAGGGGATTGATGCTGGGATATGGAGCCTTTCATCGCTGATCCAAACATGACCCAAGTCAGTAGTGACCAAAAAAATGGTTACTGTTTGGCAGATGCTTTGTGGCCTAGAGTATTTGAAATAAGTTGATGATCTTAATCCAGTTCCCAGTGGACGACTATCCACATCACAGAAACCACCACCACAATTGGCACCCTTATTGGCAGCCTTAGCAGGTTGGCCAAGGATTAAATAAGTACAGAGACTGAGCCACCCGCTTATGCCTAGCTAGAGGTTGCCCCTCTAGGTCATGGATGAGACACAAGGATGGGGTGGAGTGGGGAAGCTCACACACCCTCTGCTTGTGCTGCACTGGTTTTGTGGGTAAGGAGAGGAATTCATTTTCCTGGGCTGTGATTCAGGCACCCTTCATAAGCAGTATATACATGCCCATGCATTTAAACATGAATTTAAAAAGAAGTCAGAACTGAGAGAATTTCAGGATTTGCTCTCAAAAACTAATGGTCCAGATTAACTTCTGGGGAATACATTAAAATCAGAGTAGTTATACTACTACCAGGGCTGCATTTAACAGAATGTGTACAGTTACAACCTGTAATGTGGCTCTACTTTTGAGAAACATTCCTTTTGCTGTGCTATGTTGTCAGTCATCGCTTTAATTATCTCACAAGATGTCTTAGAGTGAAATATGACTCGTGCCAGCTATTGTCAGAAAGCTAAAGCTGATTTCTAATTAGGTATACAATGGCAACTATCATGTAAGCAAAGACCTGATACACCTCAAAAAACATACCGCTGCAATAGGAAGAAAAGCAGGACTTTTGTTAGCACCGAAAGTGTTTTTCATTTTCAGAGAGGTAAAATACACCAGTCCCTCTTTCCAATAAACAGCACTATCCCACCAAAATACTGCAAGCTAAATCCTGCAGTTATTCAGGTAATGTTTGGATGGAGCCAAAATTTAAATTTAAACTTTGAATGAGGCAGCATCTAGGCTATCTGAGTGATGGGCCAATTCCTGGGACATTGCATGTGCTTCCCTGTGTGAAGACACAGAAAGATCTTCCTCTGCTTGCAGCCCGAGCAGGCAATGCTGGAAGAGGCACAATGGCACAAAGGTGGGAATGGCTTCCCCAGAGTCACACCAAGACCTTGCCAGTATTTGAAGCCACTTCTGTATGTTTCATTTCATACCTCTTACAGTATTGCTGCAGACATGACAAGCAATGGCAGCTCTGCCCAAGTGGAGACATGGGGAACAAATTCTGCAAGCAGCTGGAGGCCTCCCCTTCCTATTCACCTCTCGGATAACCAGAGCACTTCATTGTCTGTTGGACCTTATTACATCAAGTCTTTAGAAAAGAAGATAGGAACATGGGTGTCTGCCTGGTATTTTTCACTACGAGTCTGATTTAACACCTAGCTCCCATACCTGTAGTAAGACTGAAATGCAAGCCAGCCCCTGAAAGCAAGGCATTTTCTACCTACAAGAAGGACCTGTCCTTTTATCTTTGCTGCACTAAGGTCCTCATATGTTATGGTTTTTAAAGAACTGCTTGCAAAATGGAAATCCCAGTGAAAGTAACAAACTCTTAAAATGTTACTTGTTGGCAACACATAGGAAATAAAATCATAGAATCACAGAATGGTTAGGGCTGGAAAGGACCTTAAAATTATCTAGTTCCAGCTAACTGCCCTGCCATGGGCAGGGACACCTTCCACTAGACCGCTAGAACAGTTTCCATTTGGATTTATATGCACCTAATTAGTGCTCAGATGAGTGTGTCTTCACGAAGGGAAGGTCTGAGTTCAGAAATAAGCAGACAGCAAAGTGGTGAGAAGTAGGATCCTTTCCCTGCTAGTTGAAGGAACACCACTCAGTGCCATGCATTGTGTGACCCTGGACATCCACGCTCCTGCCATGCCAACACGTGTTAGACGTGAAGAGCACCCTAATAGAAGTACTTGACCTAAACTGAACAAATTTCCTAATTGCAGTAAGACAACACTTGAAGGTGTGGTTACCACAGAAAATCACACCCATGGACAGATTAGGAGCACCTGGCTGCACCTCATGCCTCCTAATGTCCCAGGGGCATGATTATCTCATCAGGTGCCACCTGCCAAGTCCTGTTGCTGAGGAACTGGCTTTGGCACACTGCTTGGCTGGGGTGGGGAGAAGAGCACACAGGGGCAGGCACACATTTTTATCTTGAGCACATTCTTTAAAAATGAGCATTTACACTAAGACGATGCCTTGCTTCTGCTCAGAAGCATATCTGTGTTTGGAGGGTACAAAGGATGTTTCTAAATCCTGTCCAGAACCACCTCCCTGCCCTTAGCACAGCTTGCACTGTGAGTTACTGGTGAATGGGCATCCCTGAACCAGCCACAGCCTTTGCAACTCCTCAGTGCAGCCCACAAGAGACCCAAACAGATAGATGAGCCTGGAAAACCACTTGGCTGGCAATTTCAAAATGTTTTGCCCTTTTGCTCCCCAAAACAGGACAAAGCCAAAGTGAGCCACACAGGCTTTATGACTTCCAAAGTGTTCTGACCATGAAAACAGCACACCAACTTCAAAGTAGATTGCATGTGTCCAGGAGTGGTTACGCTATGGATATTGCCTCTGCATGCAAGTCCTCCTCACCTCTCCTATTCTCTTTCATCTCCAGTTCAAGGTGTGAAGCCTAACCTCCACACAGAAATTAGTGGATCACTGCCCAGCGAGAAAAGACAGACCAAACAGACCTCTGCCAGGGATGTTGGGCTCATCTGAAACAACAAAGATCATAAAACACAAGACAAAGCTCTGAGCCCAGAGGTAAGTTACTCTCGGTCGAAAGGATCTGTCTAGGGAACAAACTTTTGGAGATTAGACTAATCCAGGCTCTGATGACCTTTAGGTCGTAGAGCAAGAACTTCCTCTTTGATACATCTTTTACAACATAACCAGAGTGACACTAACAACAATAATCTGACCCCGTCCCTCCCCTCAGAAGCACCTACCCTGGGCAGAGTTTCCCCAGGCACAGAGAAAGGAGGAGAACAAAAGACTCCAGGAAGTCTGCTAGGGATGTGCAAGTCTAATTATTATGGGCAGTGCTCAGCTACTGTGATGAGAGGTGCCAATAATAGAAAAACAACCAAAAACTGTAAAGGTAGTCCATGGAAGTGGAGAAAATGGAATTTGCTAGGAACCAGAAGAAACCATACTTGTTTGCACTGCCACCCTTAGCCATTTTGATAGCATCAAAGTCCACTGGATTTGGACTCTGTCAGAGTTAGCAGATGTAGGGAACAGATTTAAGCCCCATCCTTTGCTCCTTGCTCACTGTGCTGTACAGCAGTGCTGCTATCCATCTAGCAGAATTCTCCTCTCCTTTAAGGCTCAGCACAACAGGTCTGATTCAGAAATGTTCCCCTTCCTCTTCATTCCCCTTGAATTTCTCACCCTGAGTCACCAGACTACAATATAACTTTAATGTGGAAAGTTTTGTGGGTACGTTTTGTGTTCTTTTAACTTTAGAGAAGAAAAGGTACAACCGGGGGGAGTGGGGGAAGTGTCTCATGGTTGAGAGGACTCTTTTAACCAAGGAGTCACATGGCTCCCTGGCAAGCAGCCAAAGGAGTCATGAGAGATGCTGCCATTCCCCTCAGCACTCCCTTAACTATGTCCTGCCTGCTACCCAGCCTGCCACAGGCCACCTCGCACCCCAAGGCCAGCAGCAGTCCTTGGCCCTGCTGTGCCCATGCTGTCTGTCTGCCTTGCTCCTGTGGAAGGAGGAGGCATTATCAGAAGTAATGCTCATGACTCTGGTAAGCAGTGCTTTCTTCCTGCCCTCTCCCCAAGGCCATGCTGGGAATGATGGTGAAGTAGATGGTAGGGTTGCCCTGTTTCAGATGAGACACAATCATGCTGTTGCAGGTACTTGTGGTTTGAAAAGAGTCACTGAAAGTAATGACATGACATTTACACCACGTGTTGCGTTTTCAAAGTGCTGTGGCAGCTTTCACTCTCCTGCCCCTCCCCTACCTCCAAGCCATGCCAGCATTGTTATTGCCTATTAAAGCTGTGGGAAAGGGAGGCAGGCACAAGCCAGGATACTGCTATTCAGCATCTCAAGTATCGGTCCAGTCTCGGACCTTGCCTGTCTTCACCATAGAGTGAAACCTGTCATGAAAAAGCATAATCTTTAGAGGGACATTTTCATATGCTTTCTTGACTTGCTGCCAGGGATGACAGGACCAGCGCTAGTCCTGCATGTCCATACAGCTCTACTGGGTGCTACACTGCAGCTGCTGCATTCCACCCCAGAGGTGAGTGAAATGATCCTTGCCCAATTCACTTGAATGCTGGGAGGATTAATTCACTTATGATCCTTGAATGAAAGAAACTATTATTAAATAGTAATCACATTTCATAATTATGTCTAACTTCAGCCAGATTAGGAGGGTAGATATGATATCCAGGCCCAATACCGCAGCACTTACTTACAAAATTTTAAATTAGATACACCTCAAATTGTTTTCCAGGCCCTACTTGCAGGGAGAGAGTGGTTTGTATCTTTATAGCTTATGCTTACTTCCAGCTTTGAAAGCTGGTCTGCCCCAATATGCCTTGCATATAACAAGCAAATGCCACGGTGCTTTTGAAGTGCTTTTTCCCTCAAAAAATAAATAACATTTGGTTTTATGTCAGCTCTTACTAGCACCAGAGGCCGTAATGATTCTTTCTATAGCACATAGAACTGATTTTGGGTTTTGTCTAACATGGCCTCCTATTAATATTGCTTTCGCTATATATTCTTGGGAACTATGGCCACATTCCCTTTAACTTGCATAATAGGGCAGACTGTGTCAAGTCTGTACTCAACTGGATACTGGAAGAGCAAGGCTTGTCCTGGCTTTCTGTTTGGTTCTCCTCTCACTTGTACCAGAGTCAGTCTTGTTGACTGCAGCAGAGTCTCTCCTGCTTTATTAACCTATTCAGCTGTGGATATAACTCCAAGGAAGAGAAGCCTTAGGCACTCAGAGCTAAAAAGACAAGATACAGGAGCTTCCCCAAATGTTGCACAGATCTATAGCTTTAAAATGACTTTGCTGTGCAGTGCAGGTACGAGCTGGTGGAAGATGCAACTCATCAGCATTACCTTTGCACCACAAATCAGCCAGTAAAGTCCCTGGAGTTCAATCAGTTTTGAAAGTGGTGCCACTCATTAGCAACAGGGTGGCTCCACTTCAGGCAAAAATTTGGGGACATGCAGTACTATGATAAGTGGACTTGATGCTACTTCACAGGGGAAAATTCTACTGCCTCATGTTAAACATCCAAGGCTAGCTTTTGCCTTAATTTGCACGCTTTCTGTACCACTGAATGTCCTTTTTTTCTTATTACTTAGGAACTCAGGGTGAAATTTGACCTTGGACAAACAGCTGGAACAAAGACTATGTCACCATGATGATTAAGCAGGATTTTTGCATAAACGTGAATTTTATCCTTTGTGGGTTCCTGCCATGAGGGAAATCTGATCCACAAGCATAGGCCAAAAAGAAAATAAATGTTTAAAACTATAACTCTGACATGGGTACAAACTGTATGCACTATTAAAATTATTTCCAACAAAAGAGACAATAATTCCCTAATTTAGCCTGTCTTCGTATTTTCTACAGAAGGCATGATTCACTGTAAAATAAATAATAGGTGATAATCATCTTGCTGTCAGTTCCTCGTGGAAGAAAGATTTTTTTTATGACAAGAACAACTACTTGGCCTTAACTATCTTAACTTTAGAAAAGCTGCCTATACTCCATTAGAGCTAACTTTCAGCTCCATTGCACTGTCAAGAAAACTGCCTTTTCAAAAGAAAGCCCGAAAGTGTGAAAAAGAAAACTCAGTGACAGGTTTGTCCTAACAATATTAAGAGAGAAGTCATAGAAATACATTGCATATAGATAGAAAAACTTACTGAGAAAATACTTCAAATCTCCATATCTAGAACTTCACATTTGCTGTACACCAAAGTATGCACAATGTTCCTTATGCATTAAGAAACATATAGGTGTTGTCTTGGCAAGAAGTAGCCAGTAAGTCCTATGCAGCTCTCCACAACGGAGGGAAAATGAATCCTTTTATCTTTGGGGGAGGATTGAAGGGAGAGTAAGAGAGAAGGAAAGGGTGCAAATAACCCTTAAAGGACTGAAAGACATTCTCCAGGAACCTGCCTTCTTTGGCTTTTCTTCCAGAGCACTCCTGTGCCCAAGCCCCTTGTCTTTCTTAGACTTCCAAGTAATTCTGGGCTTGTAAACCTGAAGCTTTCAGTGGCAAGTTTGTTCAGTTCATTGCCAGGTTATTCACACGTGTGTTGCATAATCCTAGAACCCATGGAGATTTTGCTTTTGTGCATTGCTATTTTGGTCATGGTTCTCATGACTAGAGGCCTGGCTGGCCCTCATGTAACTCTCCCATGTAGAGTGCTGCTGTAATACTATATAAATACTATACCAACCTGAAGCAGGTTGTGGTAATGCCATACAGGAGGGCAGTGAAGCATCAAGGAGGAAAGAGCAAAAATAATGAGAGGAATCGAGCAGACAGGTGAATGTAGAGTTGCAAAAAGCCACCTGTCCAGTAGTTAACAGGTAGAGGTGTTTTGCCAGCATGCATAAAAGGCACCAGTGGAAGTCCACTGAGGGTAAACACCATACAAAGATTATGGGCTGAAGAAATTGAGCTTGCAACATTAACCAGTTCTGTAACGCATGGTGTCAGCAAGTCTGCAGAACTCCTTTGATCTATAGCTGGTCCCAGCTTTCTGTTGCTTGTGGTAGCTTGGGAGGACTAGTGTGTTAAACTGCATTGTTTAGGGGGTTAGGAATATCTCTGGCAGCATTTCAGCCCAAATTGCGTAGTCTCATACACTGAGAAAACACTTGGCACCATTCTACCTTTAGCATGCTATGTTGCCAGGTACATATGCTGCATTTTTTTCCATGACATAGAATGTGTTTGTCAGTCGAACTGTATAATTGCAGCTTACTTTGTTTAGCTCTTTAACACCTCCTTTGAAAGATTGTCTTCTGAGGGATTAGCCTTGTTCTTTGTTTAATAGGTAAGCATATCTGCATTTAATCTTACCTACCCATCTGAATATTTCATGTTGCTTTATAGTCACTTGTTATATTATGTTAGTAATGCAACATATGTAATAATATCATGTGGTCATCCTACAAAATATGGATGCAGCCACCTTTCCTTATAATTACTGAAGTTGTTACTTTTTCTCAATTTTAAGGCATAGTTGACATTCAGTTCCCAGAGCCTACTTGCCCCAAAGGATTGAGAGAGTTGTCTATACTCACATGCATTTAGATTGAAGGATATTCAGAACTTGAGTGCTTGACATAGAGCATGGCAGGGATACTGGTGGCCAGTCAGAGATTTACCAGAACTCTTTGATCTTAGACAGGGAATTTTAATCTGGGTCTCTCAGATAAATTTTGGACTTTATCTTCTAGAGCTGTCAAAAAGTCATATCACAATCCTTCTCCCATCTTTGTGTGGCTGCTTCAATATACGGAAATAGGCTGTATCAGGCAGGTAAGCCAAGTTCACGGTGATTATGGTAGCCCAGCATGAAAATATTCTTTATCTTTCTTGTTTCTGCTGATGAAAAGCATTTGGCTTTAGATGATCCTGAAAAGCCTTTGGAGGTTCACCTGTTCTGTCTTTAAGCCAGCACATCTCTGGGAGACAGTAGAGTTGAAGTCCTATTCCAAAACCTCTTATAGATGATTAGCGTTACAGTACCATGTAAAAGGAGTATCTAAGGATCTTAACAGTGCTCTTCCTAGGCATGGGACATTGTACAAATAGAGGTCAAGAGGGTAAGCTTGCCCTAAAGACTACACAGTCTCACTTATAAGAGGAATGAGGTGCAAAAGCAGGGAAACAATGGATTTATGTCGTAGTCCAGTGACTGAGCCAGAGATAATCCTGTTCCCATAACAGACAGTTTTATCACAGCAGATGATCTAACTGGGATGGGAAAAGTGGGCCAGCCTCTGTAGCCCTGACTGTATCAGCTAATGTGGAAGCATTGATGTTAACGGTGAAGCTGTGCCCACAATCCCCTTGAAGGATCTTCACCACAGAGCAGTCTGGCTGCTCTCTGCTTGTGCAGCTCCCTCCTGCACTGCACAGATTAAGAGACAAACTTCAGGGACCGTCTCCAGCAGTCCTAATCTTGAAGGATTAGGAATAAGTACTTTTCTAAAACATATGAAAAACAAGCATTCCTTCTAAGCCATTTCCCATAAGTGTGAAGAAGACCTGTTGTAAAAGATGTGGAATTGTAAGGACGTGGGAGCATCAACAGGACGGATGGGATTTTTCTCCCTCTACTTTTCCTAACCAGCCAGTAATATCTTCTCACAAATACAAATTATTTGCTACATTATGATGTTAGAATATGTAGCTGCTTTAAAGATTTATGCTGCTATTCCTACGTACACACACTCTCTTATGAGTTATTCCTAATTGCATGATAGCAAATAACTGAATTAACTCTGTCTATGTACCCGCAGATAATCCCTGAAATAAGCTTCTTAAGAACCAACTCTCACGTTGCTGTTGAATATATCTAACCCTAAAGAAGATGAACAGTGAAAGGAGTACACAAATGGAAAGTTAGACTAGCACCATCTTCTTTAGAAGAAACTAAGTATGTCTATGTGTACAGACACATGCATACTCAAAAGATACACTGAAAGAAATGGTGCCAGACAGTGTTAGATATAATCTGGGGGTTTAGACATTTATACTAATTACATTGATACTATTGAATGTCAGTTTTATACTTTAAATATGTAATTGGATTACCAAAATATGTCCAGAACATTAAAATGCATCAGTCATCCCACTACCAGCTATTCTAGCTGCAATCAGTTCTCTGTTTCAGAAAGTCAGACATCAATTGTTCCTGGTTGCAAAAGCTTTTGCATTTTTACAGATGTTAGTAGGTAAGCTGAAGAAGACCCCTTCATCACATAGCAAACTTACAATATAGAAATAAACTTTATAAAGGGGTTGGTTCTTGAAACTAATTTTGAATACAGTCTACAATAAGTTGACTTTCTTCCCCACAAAACACTGAGGCCCCAGTGCCTTTTTCATTCTGAAAATGAAATTTCATTTCATCGTTGTCTTTTTCGCTCTAAAAATCCCTTTTCAGCACGAGAGGACTTAAGCTTTCCAGCTTTCCTAGTGGAATAGCCGAGCTGCATCGTGCTCGCCCCACCGAGCACACATCGGGAGAGACAGAACACAAACGGACACCCCTCTCTCCGTTCTCTCCTGCTCTGCTTAACTGCCCCTGGTAGTTGCGTCTTTATCCCTAAAGGACCAACAACTCCGAAGCCGAGGATTTGTTCCCACAGCCAGAAGACGATAGAGATCTCGGGCAAAATTAACATAACCATTGACAGTCCACGAGAGCTCACTAAATAACAGCTTGGGAAGCATCCTCCCCTCCAGAGAGAGCGCGGGTAGCAGAAACAGACACCAGAAGATAATGCTCGAACAGGCTTTAATCTTCAAAAGCTAGCATTAGTAAGCCAGAGAAGTATATTTACCCACAAGATAAACACCACAAGTTCGCTAGGCTACTATCCATTAAGCACTGAAATAACTCCTCTTTTAACTTTCAACCGGGAGCGAGGCGAAGCGGCGCGGCGCGCCCGGCTCTCCCTTCAGCTGCTCCCCGTTTGCAGGGGAGAAAAGCGGGGTCACGGCTGAGATGCAACAAGCAGGGCAGGGGGTGGCATGGAGGGGGAGCGGGGAGCAGGGAAAGGGAGGCCGGGCAGTCTCTCCCCGGGGAGGCAGACAGCTCCCTCCCTCTGGGGTGATGGATGGAGGGAGGGATGGATGGAGAGAGGGAGGTGCGCGTTGCTTTGGGGCTCCTCTTTGTTGTGTTTCACCTCCTGATCCCTTTCCCTTCTGCTCTGCTGGACTGCAATAGCCGCCTCAGCTCCGGCTCCGTGGGTCCAGCTCCAAGTGACCCGCCGCTGAGGGGATGATGAACCAGGGATAGCACCGGGAAAGGCGAGGGAGCGTTATTTATCCGCAACGACTTCTCATTGTAGCGGAGCAGCGCTCAAAAGATCCCCAAGCAGCTCGCTCTAAATAAAGCAGGCATTGCTTCCCTTGTATTTCCCCTCAGCAGTCGCCTTAGTATTATTATTATACTTCTATAGCTTTTGCTTTCGGACCTTATAATTATGTCACACAGCAAGGGAAACCGCTAGCATCCCAGCATCTGGTGTGCGGTTTAAAACTTTTGTTTTAAGATTTGCACTATTTATAGAAGGAAAACTTGGTAGGATAGTAATTTCCTACGGGTTTGAGAAAAATATGGCTACGCTTATATTAAAAGGGTGTATTTATTTATTTATTACGACTCCTTTCTCCTGTTAAAAAAAAGGCACTGCAATTTTTTACAAGCTATTGGTCACCTACCAGCAGACATAATCCAGCCTGTGAATAGAAACAGCTCTGGCTGAATTAAACCTAACGTGCTTCCATAAACCAAGAGCCTTCAAAACTCGGTAGCCAAGGCATGTGCATTTCATTAAGAATTAAGAATGTGAAAACAGGCTTTTAGTTTCTTTTCATGGGTGTGTTTATTCCTACTTTCTTCCATAGCGGTGGGATATATTTTTCCGTAGCCCACGGAAAATACACACACAGGAACACACGCACACGTGCTTGTTTATATGCATGCGCTCCGTGCATGTATACAGGTGGAAAAGGTATTATAAATATAATATACATACATATACATAAATCCACATGAAGTTTAGGGGCAGAAGCTCAAATTTTACACCCTCCGGGGTGCAATAAAGCCTGACCTCAGCACGGGGGTGGAGGACAAGGGAGATCCGCCTGGCCCAGACATGCGAGGCAGGGGGTACAGAGGCGGGTTTTCCTCGTCCTCGACCAAAGCTCTCCCGGGCCGAGGGCAGCCCCTCTGCCACGGCCCCCGGGCAGCCGGACCCGGACCCGACCCTCCCGCTGCCACCCCCAGAGTTTCCCCTCACCCGATCCTCGAGTCCCTGACCGGAGGAGCACGGCGTGCCCCGGCGCTGGGGGAATGCCCGAAGGAGGTAGAGGGTTCTCCATTTTAAACCGGCTCCATCGGCCGCAGGACCTGTCGCCCCCCTCGTCCTCCTCTTCCCACGCCTGTCCCGAGGCTCGGACAGGTCTCTCTCAGGGTGAGAAAGAGCAGAAAACCGGGAAAGCTGCCCGCCACCCCCTCCGGGCCTCGGCGAGCATCCCCGGCCGGGACCGGCTTCCCCCGGCACCGCGGCTGGATGACGGCGGGGACCCCGGTCCGCTACCCCTCCACCCCCTAACGCGGCGCCCGGCGGAGACAGAGATATGCCGGAGAACCGGCAGGAGCAGGGCGGCGGGCACTCTTTCCGCAGCCCGCACAGACTAGCCCAGCCGCTCCTTATCCACCGCAACGTTAGATACAGATATAGATATTAAAAAAAAAGAGAGCGAAACTCCTTGCAGTCCCACCCACCGACTCTCATTTCCCCCACCCCTACCTCCACCCCCTTCCTCACAAGGAAAAGGTCCTGGAGCCAGCTCTAACTGCGGGACTGGAGATCCCTCCGGAGCGAAAGCAGCCGGCTAGCAAAGAGCCTCCGCGGCCGGGGGCTCGCCCGCCGCCGGCTGCAGCGGCCCCGCGCTCCTCGGGATCTCCGCGCAGAAACACACTTCCCCCCGACGAGCGCGAAGCGATGCCCATCTCCGGTTTGGCAGGAGGAGGAGTCGGGGTCGGAGTCCCCAGGGGAGACGCCGGCCGCTCCGTGTCCCGCCGCCCCGCCGCCCTCCAAGGTGCGCCGCCCCAGCCGCGCCGGCGGGGCAGCCCCGGGAGTTACCTGGCGCTGTGCACCTTCCCCCGGCAGCCTCCGACCGGCAGCGCCAGCACCGCCGCCAGCACAGCAGCAGCAGCACCTCCTCCTCCGCCGCCACAGCCACCACCATCCTCACCACCACGCACTTCACGGAGCTGCCGCCCGTGCTGGCTTCTCCCAGCTCCCTCTTGCTCGCTTTGCGCATTGCCCTTAGGTAGCTGCTAGCGGGGTCATTGCAAACAGTATTTTGTTAAAAAAAAAAAAAAAAAAAAAAAAATCTGGATCACTTACAGGTAACTCCCACTGGTAAGGATGAGGAAAATCTGAGGGTAATACACTGAGAGTAACACACTGCGAGATGAAAAAAGGATCATGGCTGAATCCCGTTTACACTCTTGGAGTTCGCTTCCTTGGTTATTCCTTCCTGGGCCCCCCCTGGTCGTAATTCCCCACCCTTTTTGGTGTCTGCTGTGGCTTGAATCTGAGTTGGAATCCAGTCCCTTGGGCTTGGGGGGGCTTTGTCTGTTTGTTTGTTTGTTTGTTTGTATTGATGTGTCTAGTATTCCCCTGGTGCTAATGCTGCTCCCTGTGCAGAGTGTGTGCTGCTGCTGCGGCTGTCGCTGCTGCTGCTGCCTCTGGGCTCCTGCCTGTCATGTCTCAGTGGTTGGAAGTTGTTACAGTGGGTTCTCGTGTTGGAATGAGGATGGTTTAAGGGATTTGGATGGCAGAAAGTGCCTCTCTCTCTCTCTCTCTCTCTCCCTCTCTCTGCAACTCTCCTGAGACTCGGGGCTGCCATTGGGCAGTCAGACACTGCAATCCGCCTACTTTTTTCTCTCCCTCTCCCTTTTTTTTAAAGGGGAGGATGACAATGGAGAGACACTGATCCTGCCCGGGCTGCCATGGGTCCACGCTCCCTGGTTAAGCCCTCGCTGCATGCCTCGCTCCCCAGGCTCTCCTCTCCCGCACCACAGGGCATTTTTAAGCTCGTTCCCGCGTCTGCCGTGAGGGGTATATCCAGAAGGAGTTGGCAGCTCCCTCCCAGCTCCGCTCTCGGTGAATTATTTTATTATGGGCGGCTGCCCCAGGTCCCCTGAAGAGTTCCACCGTCCCTTCAGCCTCGGCAGGGATCTGCTTCTCCTTGTTCCCGCTGGTGAAAATTATATTCCGGTTTAGGGGGAATCAGTTAATGAAAAAAAAAAAAAGGCAAAAAAACCCAAAAGGCTCATATGTTGTCGTATTCCGCCTGAGAAACAAAAACATGCACACTCGTAGCTTCCTGGCGAGGTTGGATTTCGCGTGAGAGAAGGGGAGGGAAAGGACTGGTGTGAAGCAGCCGGGGTAGGAGGGGAGCGAGGGGCTTCCGGCTCCCCGCACTTCTCGCTGCTCCCGCAAGAAGAGCTTTCGTCTGTTCTCTTCCCTCTACCTCTCTGCTTCCCGAGAAGATGCCTGTTCGAAGAGCCGCTTCCCGGCAGGTCAGTTGCCTCGCCCCGCCGCTCCTCGAGGCCAAGGGATGCTCAACCAAACACTACCCCCCCCCCCCCTCGCTTCGGCGGCCAGAAGCCCTTCAACCCGTATAGCCCAACCGTGCATGAGACAGTCGCTCTTGCTCTTTCTTCGTCGGGCGATTGTCCTTATTTTTTTTTTTCTCGGCGGAAAAACAAAAAGTAGACGGTTTAGAGGTGGGGGAGACGGTGGAAAAACGTGCGCTGCGGGGGGGCAGCGTTAGGGCTTGAAAGCGAACCCCACAAGAGAAACGCGAGCCGCAGATAATTTAACACAAATGCAGCCGACATCAGCAAGAACCAGGCTCCGAGTTTTCCTCGGTCCGTAGCGTTTTGTCTCAGGTTAATTGCCTAATGACTGAAGGAGTTTTCCTGGCCAAGTGCTCTTCCAAATATCCTGGGAACACCTCCTCGGTTAGCCAGTCCCAGCACAGGAGCGCAGCTGCCTCCGTGACACAACGAAATATTCCCTCAGATGGAACGGGAATTGCAGAACCGGTGTAAAAACGTTGTCTGCCTCCCAGCATGCGATAAATATCTTCTCGGGGTTTGGTGTCATTTAACCACTCTCATCCACGAGTCCAGCACAGACCCTGGAGCAGTCGAAGTCCTTTAGAAAACTGCTAATCTCGATTAACAAGGGACGGCAGATTAAGCCTTTCAACAATCATTGTAATCACAGAATCGCCTTACTTATAAATCTTTAAGATTCTAAAATCGTTGTATTCCTACTTCTGTAAGTGTGTGTGTGCATGTATATGTAAACTGAAATGTCCTGTAATGCCCATTCTCCTTCTTAGGCACGCAGGCTTGGGGCTGGGGCAGCTGCTCTGAAAGGGAACTAGGATAGTTCTGAACGGGAATTAGGTGTAGCCGCTTTTAATGTTTTATTTCTAGCATTTGTTCGGCTTCGGATATGTATTTAAATAT